AGACGTCCCTTCTCGGGTTACGGATCGAGCGAAAGTTTTCGATATCCCTCGGCGAATGACGCAACGTCTTCTGTTGCTCAACTTTCCCCCGGGGCCACGTGACTGCTTTCGTTTCCCGGCAGAGTTACGTCACACGGGGAATTCCCGTCAGAATACCATGGCTTCTTGATTCACGGTCGCGTGGCGTCACAGAGAGACAGGGAAGAAACCGTGACGAAGGAAGGCGTGGATGGAGGAAATTGAGGTAAATGGAGAAAATGAGCGAAAGATGTGAAGGAAAGGGAAAGGGAGAAAGAAGGAAAGTTGTGGTCCCTGCGCATGCGCGGAGCCATTGAAACAACGCGATTATCCTAATGTCTGCAGAGCGTCTCGCGTTTCGCTTACATCTCCTGTTTAACGTGACGACGCTTTCCAAATTGTCTTTGATCCTGACTTTGGGAACTGGTGTCGTGGCCTAATTTAATACGTGCGGATAGCAGAGCATTGTCTCCCCAAAACATAAAACCCCACCTCATTCAAGAATGTACAGTCTTTGCAACAAAAAACCATGTTCTGAATCCCAAACCGGAAGTGACGTAAGGGTGCAGCTGGTGACAGTTGCAGCCATTCGTAATCTGCTCGTGCTTTCTCGTCAGATGTCCCTTTAGCAAAGACGCCAATATGTCTGCAGGGGCAAAGCGTAGAAATAAATTTTGGTGTCCCGCCTCCCCACTTGTAAGTCAAAGATTGTCGAAAGCCGAATTTCACGAGTTATATGAGGACCCGCGGATGTATCCAAAGAAATTATCGAGATACTTTCTTTTTTTTTCCGTCAAGTTCGCTCTGGTTCGGCAGTGGAGCGTCTCAGTTTCTCTTTAGTTTTTGTCACCGAACTGTACAGTCCCGGCCTTTTTCTCCTATTCAGTTACGCCAAGGTCGGGCGAACGATGGTCGCCGCTCGTGCGCGCGCACCGCATCGAAAATGAAGCATTTTTCGCGCAGAAGAACCGGACATGCGCGGAAGGTCTTATTCTCGACGTGCGAGTACGTGATTCTGGACATGTTATTAAAGGTGCAAGGTCTTCAGAACAGGTATTTCCAAGGACCAAGGTGCTAATTCACACGTTGCATAAGCAATTGGTATATTTTAGAAACAAATGCACTTCCTACATCTTTCTCTGATTGCTGTCAGATTCCAGCACGGAGCTGATGTCGAATCAGAGCGCCGTAGAATTGCCTTTTGCAGCCTCGCACTTGAAGCCTCACGACGGGAATAACGAATGGACCGTGCGTGTGTAATTCGTCGTTCTGTTTCGAATGTCGAGGCTGTTTATTTCTGTGCGTGGAAAATTTCTGACCTGACGTGTATGTGACTTAATGCGCTGGAGATATGACGTCAGCCCAGATTTGAGACGAAAAGGCCAAGACGCCACCATTATTACGGCGTCACAGTCCGTTGGTTTACTTCACTTTTGCGAGATTGCACTGACGTCACTGTCATTTCATTTGTTTTTAAGATGGTAAAGTTACGTCATATTGAGCATGATGTATATATACAGAACAACATCGAGTGTGTTATTAAAAATGGAATAAAAATCTGAAAAAGAACATCGTTTGATATCTGGTAAAAATCTAATAAAAATGCACGCTAGCATAATGTATGAAAATTGTATTTGAATTATTTATCGTTTTGAAGCTGAGGATGGTTCTTTTAGGAACTGAAACATGAAAAATGATGGTCTAATGTAAATCGAATATTTCGATAAAGAACATCATTTAATATTTTAAATATTTTAAAATGTTAATTATAGCAATATTTTAATATTTAATAAGAATTGATTGTGATTAGACGGACAAGATTTAATATATATTCATTTGTTTCGTTGCTGATGTAACCGGCCCCACTGTTGTCATACGAGGCTGATTTCATCAGTTGGCGCGTCTGTAATCAACCAATTGATGGGGCGTAGTTTGTTTTGGAGAAACAGCACGTGTTCTGTTAGTTTGTCAGGATCGCGAGGTTCAGTTTTTAGTAGAATGAAAACGCCGCTTACGTTACAGAATGTCACGTGATGTTTATGGACAGGTAACATTGAGTAGAACTCGGATTTTTTTTATGAGTTACGCCGTTCTAATGAGTAACTATGAAAAACATTATCGCCCATTGTTCGGAAGGCAGCGTAAGAACATTGAAGTGCGAGATCGTTCGTGATTTATTTCTTAATAGTCTCGTTGAAAAGTTCTGATTTCGAATTCGAATGAACATTTCTTTGTCTAACGTCATCCTCTTGGAAGACATTAAAATTAACCTGAAGGAACATGGATCTAATGATAAGCCCAGTATTTGAAATATGGATCTTCCGTTTTCTGACATTCCTTGTACCATTTTGTGTGGCCAATGAGCATCACGCGTGGTATCCGTGACCCCAAACAGCAGGAAGGCTCCAATCATTTGTCACTAGAATGCGAATTGTCCTGTGACAGCTTAATCTATCGGATTCCCGCCATAATTATATTTCTCTGGTTTTCCCATGTACTTGTGGTATTTCATGCGTAAGAAATGACAGGTATTTTGACGGAACACGGACGGCTTTTACTTGTTATTTAAAAAAACATTCCACAAGTCAAGGTTTGTTCTGCGTTCGTACGTAACATTTTGATGTAATGTTTCTGCTTGTAATTTTATTATTAGATAAACAGCGAAATTACTTTTATTAACATGACTTCGTGTTTATCATTGGTGTTCGTTTTTGGTTGGACATTCGAAGAAATATGAACAGACGTTATAATATTGCGTCTTCTGGACGTCCTGGTAATTTTTGTAGGCCATGAAGAAATGTCCCGCCTGTTGGGAAATTAGAAGGTTCATAGCCGTGTTCACAAAATCCCTCCACTTCGGTTGAATCCACTCAAGACTTTTATATCTCGAACAATATTTTTATCAGTTTCAATGTTGAAGGATGAAGTCGTTGAATATGTCTTGGTGGCTTTTGCTTCGACACGAAATAAATTAGTCCCTTCTTTAGAAATTCTGTACGTAAAGAACGCCTTGCCCGGAACTCATGCACGTCGTCCCACACATTTCTTTCCAAAATTCTTTGAAGGACTTGGATATAAATTTGCGATGAGCGTTCCACATTATTCGACAGTCGACGCACGAACGTGAAATGCGTTAGACAGAATCAGAAGAATTTCTAAACTTTGTGTTAATTTCCTGTTGTTATCGGATGTTCCTTTGTTGTTGTCACCTTAAAATTCATTTCATGTTCCGTCTCTCTCCCATTTCAGTGTTAGACCATCGACTAAAAAAGGGCCATCTTCAGGGACTCCTTTTTATGTCTTCGGTAACGTGCGCGTGTCACGTTAACTTTATTACGCTTACTTCGATCTGAATTACAGCGTTACGACACCGTGTGCAACTCTCTAACTTACGAAATGACTGAAAGGAGGCCATGAGGATGGTCTTTGAATGCCGAAACATGTGCAGTGATAAGGAAGTTAAGTTATTTCTGATGGCTCGACAGTGAGGAAGATTGGGCCAGTTTCTTTTGAGGTTTGAAGAAAGAAAGTTTGCCGTTTTACTTTAATTTTAAGCTTGTCTATTTTTATCAGTCTAACCCAGTGGTATTCAACCTGGGGTACGCGTACCCCCGGGGGTACGCGAAGACATCTTAGGGGGTACGTGAAATTTAAAAATATATATTATTTTATGATAAACACTGAATAATGAGTAATGTAATTTATTTAATTTATTTTAGATGTAGATTATATACTACGTATAACTTGGATTATACACCAACAACTTTGGGGTACAAAGTTGAAGAGAAATTATATCTGGGGGTACGCGAACAAAAAAGGTCGAATACCACTGATCTAACCCTTTAAAGCCCAGTGGCGACTGCATGTAGAGCGACTGTGTATTTTTATTTATTTTTCGTACGATCCTCACTCTAAACAGCGATTATTTCCTTAAACAGCGTTAACCACTTGGCCTCTGTAATGGTGAAGTGTTGTTTTCTTTGCGGTACGGACTGAATTCTTAAATGTTATTCAGACGAGCTCTGGCTGAATCTTTTGTTATGATGAGGTTTATAATGTGACTGGAAGCTATTGGCAGTGAATGTGCGGGTCTTATATTTCGTGCAAAATGTATTTCGATCTATAAAAAATATATCAGCTTCGTGTTTTATTTATTTAACCTCGTCTGCGTCTTGGAAAGATGTAGTTGTTCATCTGGACATCCGAAGTCATTGCTCTAACTGCAGTCACGTCCGTCCTTAACTCTAAAACAAAATATATTTTACAATGAAAACAAATAGCTAAGAACTATTTTCAACAAAATATGTTAATCGTACAAACTTAATAATGACTGTAAAGGTATCCGTCCCTGGATGCAGACTTCAGCTGCGCTGTGGGTGGTTTCGCTTGTTGAAGTTCGTGTCTTCTTCATGCACTCATCTGTTCTGCTTGTGAAGCGTTGGCATTCGTCCTGAGTCCCGATTGGTCTTCGGTTGCGCACTCATTAATTGCAATAAACCATCGCACATGGCGCGAAGCCTTAAATTCTTGCAAGATATTTTACAAGTCCCTCGCAGAACCTGTTTTCAGGGCAACCTGGGAAGAAATCCTTTAAAATGTGTGTACATCGTGGTTCATATAGGCACGGAGACACCACATTTAAATTTCCTGAACAATTCAGACATGATGAAGGAAGCATAAGTGTGTGACGAAACTGTGGAAGGTCACGTCTCGTATGAAGACCATACATAAGAATCAGAGTCATGGAACCTAAGCAACGAGGTTGCTGGTCAGTGTATGATTTGGTAACCACGGGTTAAAGTAGGCCACGAACACTTTCCTCTCCCTCGTAGCTTCTTCTGTCTTCCCTGGTCGAGTCTGTGTCTCGTTTCCATAAAAGTCGTTTTCAATGTAGATAAAGGTAATCGTCATTTCGCCCCGAAGGGCCCACGCCTTTCTTCTTCTTCTTCTTCTTCTTATTCTACCCTCCCACTCTAGTTGGAAGCAAGACTCGTTTCAGAAGACGTTCAGCGCGCGTCACGAAAGCTCACTGGTCGAGGAGCCAGAGGTCGATTGGCATGTGGCTCAGCGCGTTGTTCATGATATCCTTGAAAACGACGCTGAAACTTTCCCCCAGAGGATCCTTCAACTCCTTCACGATCTCCAGCGCGTTCTTATTTACGAACGCGTTCAACGTGCGACCTGAAACAGAGCGGAAAATCAAACGTCGAAATTACGGGTGGACGGACAGTTGCATTTGCGTGTGAATTCACGTAAGTATAATGCACAATGGAGTAGCATGACTCCGGGTTTCTGTGACAAATTGCAGCTTCCGTTCATGAGAAAACGGTCTCTAGCAACAAAGCTGTTCAGAGTGCAAAATGTTGATTTCTCACACGAGATATTTAGTTAGTAACACTGAGTGGTAAAAAGAATTACTAATGTGAAATATCAAGAGAATCACGTGGATTACAAATTAAACCGTTTCTGTGACTTCACGCGCGAAGTCTCTTCATCGGTTCCTGGAGCGCCAGAAGTGTGTTCACTCACCCAGCACCTTATTCCCGTTGAAGAGGTTCTCCAAGTTGACCGTCATGCCCTGGATGTCGAAGTCCACTGTCATGTCAGCGATGTGTAGGACTTGGCGTCCCTGCAGGCGCCTCAGTTCGAACCGCGTCGAGACGCTCGTCGTCACATTGTCTGTAAGCCACGGAGTTCCGTCAACAGAAGCCACGTGCACTACCACACTCAAAACAGCAGAATTACTTAGGACAAGCTGATAGTCGTTCAGTTCCCTGCCTTCTATTGAACTCCAAGGTGTATCGCCCTGTTCACAAGAGCCGTCCTGAGCCAGCTGAATCCAGTCCACACCCTCCCACTCTAATTTCTTCTTAAGACCTACTTTAATATTATCCTCCTGCCAAGTGGCGTTTCGGAAATTCCTGCTCTGCTGTGTACTCACCGAGGTTGACTTTAGCCGGCCCGTTGCCTATCAACGGGAGGATGAGTACCTTTCCCTGCAGGTTGTAGTCTGACTCGATGCGGATTTCGGGCAGGAAGACCCCCAGTTCGAACACCCGCCTGTCCATGTCCAGTCTGCGCCAACATAAACGAGAATGACGATGTGTTAAGTTGTCTCTGAAGACACGACGTTGCGTCCTTACGTTATCGGTTGTTGGGGAATTATGTAAAGTAATTATACCGATTCGCTTTTCGGAAAAAAAAATAGCGAAGAGTTTTTGTTGCTGAAAACGAGGCACAGAAACGTCCTTGACTTTTGGTTCTTGCTCCGAAAGTAAGGCGGCCTGAGAGTGTTTCTAACCACTCACAATCTAGGAGGAGTTTAAGAATAAGTGGAGCTGTGCCTCCAGTTCCATGGCGTGGTACTTACACCGCGGATGTAGCTTTCGCTTTGCTCGGCCCGTGCGCTAGAATGTCGTAGAAACTTCCGGTTATGGTGACTGGTCCATGGCCCTTGGACAGGCTCAGACGGGACAGGTACAGCGGCTCGAAGCGATCCACGTGGATTTCCGGGATCCCTGCAAAATGACGGGTGGAGTGCTTGTCCATCAGCTGTCACTCGTCTACGTAGACCGAGGGCAAAGTGTAGTAGCAGACAGATTGGTTAATTGCCTCCTTAGCCTAGCTTAACCCTTTGAATATTTAAGAATTCAGGCCGTACCGCGAAGAAAACACCGCACTTCACCATTGCGGAGATCAACTGGTTAACGCTGTTTAAGGAAGTTCTCGCTATTTGCAGTGAGAATCTTACAAAACACAGAAATAAAAAATGAAGAGTTACTGATTGTTAACCAGCGTGGTTCTTGTATTTGCCGGTAGGCTTTAAAGGAAATGACTACACCAGACCGCAGGTTCGACACTCTTGCTGTCCATAAATGAATCAGGGAACGGGCAGCCAGACTATTAAGAAAGGTTAGCTTGAGGAAGGGCCTGCAGTGACATGTGGATGTCGAAACTTACGTCCGTGTGTGAGGTAACTAACCTTTAGCCAGGGCAGGGAACATGTTCTGGAAAGTGTCCTTGACGCAAGAGTTCAGCTCCGGGTCCTTGAGTCTGCACGGTCTCAGCCAATCAGCTGAAACAAGTGACAGGCACTTTTCGTTAAGTCAGTATGAAACGAGCTTTGTTTCTATGGCAATTTATGAACTGAGTTTGTGTAGTAAACTTATAGATAGTTGCCTCAAAATTCCAATGCATGGCTTAAGCCATGTCATAAACTAAAGATTTGCAGAGCAGGAGAAGTCGACTTACATCGACATTTGTCGTTTGTAGCATGGAAAGGGATAGAACACACCAAATCATGAAGAGATGTGTGAGATGTGAGGATAATCATAAGAAAGGCGATGAAGGTGTAGAAGGAATTATCTTTTCGAGATTACGCGCGTGGCACATGCCCGAGCAAGTCTTGAAGCGGAAATTGAAATCGAAAGGGAACGTCGCTGGTCAGACAGCATCCTCCTAACCTACTTCTGGCCTTAAGTGTTATTTTATTATGTGAATGTCGTGAAGAACGGAGTAGCAATGAAATGGACAGTGGAGAAAGTATTCGTCTTCGTCTTCCGCGTCATTAAATGATTGCGTTTCAGCTGTTCCTGCCCTTATGCAATGGCTTTTGATATTCTGACAATAAGCCGTACTGATGCCCCGAATGCAGAATTAGCCAGTGTTATGACGCAAGTGCAACCAGCACTCGGCAGACACGAACGGGTGCAGAGTGGAAGCTGCAAATCTTTGTGCTTCAAGTGTCAAGTCTGCGTGGAAGAGATTGGGGAGCTTCGTAATAATAATATTAAAATGGTTAACAAGGAAGAACAAGATTGGATTAATCTGGCTCTGAATTGAGACCGGTGGCTGCTCTTGTGAACACGGCGATGAACCTTCGGGTTCCATAAAAGGCGGGAAATTTCTTGACAACCTGAGCGACTATAAGCTCCTCAGGAATAAATCTTCTCCGCGCAGTTTTGTTGGTTTCTTGGTTGGTTAGGCCAGTGGAATTCAACCGTTTTTGTTCGCGTACCCCCCAGATATAATTTCTCTTCAACTTTGTACCCCCAAAGTTCTTGGTGTATAATTCAAGTTATACGTAGTATAAAATCTACATCTAAAATAAATTAAATAAATTACATTACTGATTATTCAGTGTTTATCATAAAATAATATATTTTTTTTTAAATTTCACGTACCCCCTAAGATGTCTTCGCGTACCCCAGGTTGAATACCACTGGGTTAGGGTAACCGACTAGTTAGTCTGCTTGGGTGAACAGATAATTACGTGGACAACTGAGTTGCTTATAAGAGTGATTACATTTTATAAAACGCCTTCAGTTGAAGTATCGTCATTAAATAACTAATAATATTTGCCTGGCTCTCCCCAGCTTCACCCTTGTTAATATTCATTGTCTCTTCATCCCACCTAACTGCACGCAGTTATGCTGCCGGTCCATCTCGTTCATCAGCTCGTACAGTCGTGCAGTCTACGAACTCTTGAGATGTCGATTTTGAGGTTAGAGTGCCTTTGATACGAAAGAATGAAGCGATTTCATTTGTCAGTACAGCAAAGTAAAAACTTTTATGAAATTTCGGAGGAAGTGTCTCTCGTTGCGTGTTCATCTCCGCACCCACAAAAGCCCGCTGCTTGTGCAAATAGTCTACTTACGCGCCTGGTCCAGCAGTTTGATCGCTCGTTGATCGGCATTTGTCGTTCCGACAGACGGCAGCACTGCGCCGAACAATAGCCAATATTGGATGGCGGTGGCTGTTGCTATGGTGAGTGCGCGGGCCATCTTGAAGTCTTGCCTGCGCTGATGGACTCGGAGAAATGAAATGTTTCGGAAGAAAGCGCCTGCATGACTGGAGAAAGTGATTATTGATTCGGGGAGCCGGGGGAGGGGGCAAAGAGCGAGGCGTGTCGGTTTGGGCATTTGTGTTTGTTACTGCCTGTTCGTGAGGCGGAGACGTTTCGGTACTCTGCCGGAATATAAATCGCGCCTGTGCATTCCTTTGTCGATTAAATGTGATGCTGGCTGCTGTGTGGAGATCGCTTTCTTCTTTAACGCGGACCTGCGGCCGAGTAGACTGAGAGGAAAAGGGACTCATGGAACACACAGAGCAATCCGCCAGAGAAAAACCTCTCCTCTTCAGATTTCTTAGATTTCAGAGGCCACTCGATTGTTTCAGATGCAATTAGTTCATGCAGATGTGTGAGCGTCGTTAAATCAACTAAGACGCTGCTGGACGAAGGACAAACCTCGTTGCGAACTGTTTCGTATTGGAGAGATAGCTGTAGAGTTATTATAAACATTACGTCGTAATAATTAGTTTTAATTTCCTTATTTAATTATCAGCTTATATTTTTACGATTTCCGCACTCTTTATAGGCAAACTTTATTAAGTGATTGCTTGTGTTTGAACGAAACATTGAAGCATCGTCGAAAATAACCTGAGACGCTGGCAGTCGCACTTTTTGATAATCGTGTTCTGATATGCCAGACTCCCGAAACGTCGCAAATCCATAACCAGCCCTACGACAAGTCTTTGAACATATCGCGGGGCGCACGAAATTTGGTCAGAAAATTCTCGGGGGATCGCGTAATCGAGACTCGTCATGGTACTCGGTTGCCTCGGAAACGCGTGGACGCCCACGAGTCGACTGTTCGTTCCACTTGCGACTATTTTTACCGTCCTATTAAGCCGATGCGTCATCGCGAAATAGCCCGACATGTTTATTTCTATCCTGACGTATGCGGTGGGGCGACCGGACCCCCCTTCAGGATACTTCGTGCACGACGAAACTTTAACCTACAAAGACGACAAATGTGACGTGAGGCAAATGTGCTCGTAGTAATCTTGAGGCGGGCCCCTCTATGGACGTCGCTTGGGGGGGGGGGTGTCCTTGGGGCCTTTCTATATAACCGAGCTTGGCCAGTGGCTACTCTAGGAGAGCTGTCTCTGTGTGTGATATCCCTGGTGTTGTACGACGTCTGACAGCCACGCGATCATGTTGTGTTCTCTGGTGCTCCTGGCGTTTAGCGTCGGCCCAGCGCTGGGTTACTTTAAGGAGAAACGTAAGTAGTCACATAACCTTCAGTGTAGAGTTTTATGGAAACTTGGTCATTGGTAGAAAAGACAGACAAACGCGTTTTGTATCGAGCAAAGGAATCACGTGGGCTCAATTAATATTTTTCGCGCATCTTGTGAAGTCAGGACAGGATGTCTGCAGCCCTCTAAGAGTTGGTACTGTTTTCAGCGCCCTTCATGCAGGTTTGCTACAAGGCTGACCCGGAGTTCGTCAGGTGCTCGACAGAGGCCGTCCAGATGATCATGGATAGCATCAAGAACGGTGAGTGAGCGATTGTTTGCTGTCGTAAGAGGTTCTTTCAACTGTCACACGGCCCGTCACCATTTGGAGATAGGCACATTCGCGTTCCGGCCATGAGTTTATGTTCGAGGAGCGGTCAGTCGTCGTGTCGAGTTTCGAAAGCGGACAGTCGGGGGGCCGGTCAGAGAACTAGCCATAGATTCGCGAGCAGCTCAGGTGGTTGGGTTACGAAACCGCCTCTGGACGACAGCATGTGCTCAGGCTGTTCTGCGCAAACTGGCACGAGCCTTGTGAAACGCGGTGCTAAGTGCCTTGCGGCTTCGAACCGTTGTACAACACTTCGCGGTCTATTTGTCACGTGCCATTTCATATGTCAAAATTCACACAAGTTGTTATTCCACGTTTAACACGCGCGCACAATTCTGAATATGAATGTAGTTGTATTATTTGTAAAACACCAGGGTCTAGAATTGAACGCTGTCGTGTGGACTCGTAGTGGTAGGTAGATCTCCCTGAAGATGTAGCCAGTATGTGCGTACGAAACGTTGGTATCTACCTACGAGTCCACACGACATCACAGCCCAGAAGAACAAGACAGCCTGATAATTTATCGGGGTCATTTCCGATGCCAGAAAGTTCCGGGACAAAACGAAATTGTGTACGGCGACATCTAACGGGATGATACCTCATCAGTGGTTGTTCAAGGCCAGAAATGTGTCTGAGGGCCGGACCAGAGATGCCAGGAGTTGACAGGTCGAGACAAAACTATGAACTTTGTTGCAGGTCTTCCGGCGTTAGGGATTGAACCTCTGGACCCTTTCAACATCCCGGAGATCAAAATTCTTCAGGGAGGTGATGGCCCGGTCGCTCTGAACGCTTCCTTGGTGAACGTGACCGTGAGAGGGCTCACCAGCACGAAGATCCTTTCCAACAAGTGGGTACCTTCCACCCAGCAGGGAAATGGGAAGTTGATGATGTCATTGTCTCTGCTTGCCGAAACCCTGAGGATTGCGAGAGAATAAAAAAAGAGCGCGCAGTTTGCGATAGTAAGGGACATTTTGGCGAGGACATTTTTAGGACGTCACTTGGAAAACCGAGAAAGTAATCTAAGAGATGGGATTTTGTGTTACCAACGCCGAACCTGTTAGAGGGGCGTGGGCCACTAGAAGAAAATGTTGCGCGAGTGTCTGACGGGACTCGTGTAAATCTGGACAACTCAGGTCAGTACGGTCTGTCTGTTATGTGACCAGTGAACCAGTCGCCGCTTGGTTACGCAACAAGCGGCCAGCAGCATTTCTGGCACGTCTCACACACGCACAGTCCGTACTTTCATTATTGCATTAGGAAAGGTGATTTGTGGAAGGCGTGACCTGACTTCGGCGCGTCGAGTATTCGCTAGGCCGATTCTGGAATTCGGGCGCGTCCTTATGTCACGGAATGGTCACTTAGGAATTTGCGTATCGCCCGAGGCGCTGTAGCAGCGAGAGAGTGGACGCAGCGTATTCCGGAATACCCGGTACGCGTGTTTAAGATTCGGTATTTACGAGTTCGACCAAGATCTGACT